ACAATAACAGGATTAAAAAAAACAATAGAAATCTTGAAAGATAAGGTTGAAAAATTTTCCCAAAAGTAATACATGAGACATAGAATAAAGCACATTATATTAGGCAGGAAAAGAAAAGAAAATCAAAAGTTAATTCTAGGAAGTCCAGCATATTATTAATATGCTTTCTAAGAAAAGAGATCAGAGATTATGATGTATTAAAAAAAATAGCACAAGAAAAATTTCCAGAACTGGATAACATAAGATTCCAGATTGATGACCTGCATTGCACCCAGCAAAATCAGTGTTTTAAAAAGGAAAGGCATTGTAAATTTTCAAAATAGCAAAAAAGAGGCAATCCTATAAAAAGTATGTAATAAAAAGTTGGGAATCAAAATATTATCAAGTTTCTCCATAGTAATATTGGAAGCAAAAAGACAGTGGAGCAATACCTTTCACCTGCAGCCAAATTATCAATGAATATTGATGGTAAAATAAATGTATCTTAAGGATAATAAGCACATTAAATGTGTTACTATGAATTGGTCTATGTTAGGAAGCTACAAAATGTTTCCTCTAATAATCTCCAGGATAATAATGAAGGGAGTTGCCAGGACTTCTGTTCTATAGAGAACCAGGGAGCAACCAATCCATGTTGGACTGTGTATGAAGAGTGCTTGAGGCCAGAGGCCTCCATGAAAAAATTGAGAAATGATCAACTAATTGTAATAGATATGTTCTATCTTGTTGGAATTTGTATTAAAAGGCTACAGAGTATGGAAAAAAATGAGATAGAGTTTAAGAAAACTAAACAAAAAATTCAAGAACATTATAGAAGAAAAGTAATCATAGTACTCCACTTGAATTAATAGTGAAGAATATTTATATAAATAATATAAACACTGCAAAATCATATTCAGATAAGTTATGCTGTAATTACATGAGAGGATGTGGGAGGTGGGGATTGGGATTGCTAATGCTTCATCCACCTTAATAGGAAGTCAACAGATGCATCTGAATAAGGCAGATAATGGTATGAACATTTTTCAGAAATATTTAGTTAAATACAGAGGAATTCAGTTAGATGCAGATTATTTTGAATTCCCTAGCATTTCTTTGTGTGAAAGATTCATATTGATGCTGCAGAAGAATCATTGATGAGAGTGTATCACAAACCAGGAATTATGATTGATCCATTCTGAGTATCTCAGGTTGAGGTCAAAAGAAATACCACAGAAAAAAAGCTGAAAGTCTTAAACATTTTTTATGGATTTGGGCAGTAATAGAGACAAGATATAACAAAGCAAGAGATTCTTTTATTTTAAACCTCTTATCATTTAAAAACACAGACTATATACCTATAGTATTTTGAAAAAATGTAAGACCTTTTATAGTTTTCAGAATATATCAGTAATTTTAAACCATTCTGGTCACGTGGTTTGTGTTTTTTCATCTAATAACTTAACTAAGCCTGAAATGAGAGATTGAACTGATAGAGATTTCTATTTCATTTATCCTTTCTATCCAGATAAATAACTTGTAAGTTGGGACATGGACAAATTGGAAATAGAAATAAAATATATAAAGTTATTAACTGATAATAATGAAGTTAATCAAGATCATAAGATAAATAGAAGTTAAAGAAAGTATTCTAATGAACCTCAAAATGTTTAAATACCATAATACATACAAATTTGTCATTTAGGTACATCCATTTTGGTTATTTTAGAAAACTAGTTAATGAATAGATGTTTCATTACTTTTATTTTTGTTCTCAAAGTGTTAGCCTATTATGAAACACATAGGCAGATTATCGCCTGTTACATTATTTTTCATTTTGAGTCATTTCAGAAAAACTGCATAGAATTTAGCCACGGTTTAGAACTAAGCCCTGCATTGCATTGGAATTTTATCTTATGCCAAAAAATATTGTTTAGGATTGTATAGCATTTTGCAATTATGCTGTCATTAAAGACAGAGAATGCAAAAACAAAGAAAATGTTAGCCTTGAATTCTATGTAATCATTTCATGATCAAAGAATTAAAATAATGGTTCTATAATTAGTTTCTATGCTTGTATGATAAAACCTCTCTAATATGAAAAATAATGTGATAATCATTTTGTCATCAAAATCCATCAGGTTTTGCAATTTAATTTCCATTGCTTTTTTTAGTTCAAAGTTTTATAATGTATTCCTGATTTTTTACTCCTTTTTTAGTTCATCGTGTTTTTTACTTATAATTTTGAATATCATTTGCTTTGTTCAGACTCCTAAATGTATATTTAGTTTGAAGCACAGGCTTTTCACTGTGGGTCACAACCGGTAACCTTTGTAATCCCAGTGTTTTATTCAAGGAATAATCTCCAAACTTTCTTCAGTTCTCTAACCCATTGGAATACCTTACATGTCCTTGCCATTTATTAGAGAATTTAAGAAAATCACACATGTATGAAAAGTGTACTTTTCATTGTACAGAGAAAAATGGCATCCATGATTTCTGGTAGGCAACATTTTACAGGTATTTTCTAAAATACATTTAAATTCAATGGTATACCTAAAAAAACATTTTCTTTCTCATCATGTACTTGCTTAAAGCTATGCAGGGTTGCCTGCTAGGGAGTCAGGAAGACACCAGAGACTCAGAACTCTGCTTCTGGCTATTATCTTGTGCCTATTTCCCTCAGAGGGACCTGACAAGGAAGTTCAGTCTAGCTCCTTCTACAGTCTCTGGGATTTTAGGCTTTAGCATGCACTGTCATGATTTTCAAAGATCATTTGTCTAAAATGTTTTATTAGAGTATCGTTTCTTTAACAAACACTAGGACAATTAGTTTTGCATTGATAATTTTCTAAAATATTATCAGTTTGCAAGTCCTGGCTTACTGGAGAGGCTGAGGCAGAAGGATCCCTTGAGCCTTGGGAGTGAGTTTAAGGCCAGCCCAGGAAACATAGTGAGATCTCTTAAAACAGACAAACAAAAACAACAAAACATTCTGTCTGAGAAATGTAACTTGTACGCCAAGTTTTAAGCAAAGCCTTATTGGAGGTGTGACTGCATGTAGATTTAGCAATCCTTGTAGGTAGGAACTAGCTTGGATTAGTTCTATGAAACCAGCCAGGAAAAGCTGCCTCGGTTCACAATAGAAAGCCCTTCTCCATGTATTTATTGTGGGTTCTGAAATTATGTGTGTCTGTGCATGTATGTGCTCTGTAGCTAGAGGAATTCTCCTCGAAAAGTAAAGCTAAATTTTTCTCACTTCTGCCTGAGACCACTGACAAGCTAATAAGGAAGAGTGATGATAGTAATAAAATAGGGTGAGGGGTACATTCCTGAGATTTCGTTGCTTATAAAGTGATAGGCCTGTTACCAAATGACCACAGAGGGACTTGGAGCAAGATCTAGTCCTGAGGCCTTCTGATGGAGAGGTGACCTCCCTGTGATCCATAAAGCATCCCGAGAGCTGGAGCTATCACATCAGAAGCAAATGCAGGATTAACAGCTTTGGCAACCACCTTTTTAACCCAGAGAACATAGCTGTATGTTTTTAATTTGTTATGATTTATTACACTGAAATTGGTGTGAAATGGACAACAAATCATGGGTGTCAGAATCTGGAAATGAATTTTATCAGCTGAGCAAAGTGAGTGCCTTTGGGATTTGCATAAGTTTCTCATAATTCTTTTCATATTACACAAGATGAGTAAAACTGTGAAAATAAACTGAAAATGACATGATATTTCCTAAGTAGCTAATTTCACATCTACACATAGACACATATAAATTTAGCCACTTAGCCTCAGTTTAGGCTTTCTCTATAATTCAAGGTGATTTGTACATATCTAGAGATACATTTGTCTTAAAACCTTTAAGTCAACATTAAGAGAATTTGTTCCATATCATAAATGTCTTGGATTATTTACAGAAATTACAAACATTATAACAAGATATTTACCAATTATGAATTCTGTTTTAACGCTCAAATTTGGAAAAGGGAATTTAGACTCACATACCAGTGTAAAAGTGCGAAGATGGAAGAAGATCTATCCCAAAATATCAGATGTTATAAATACCCTTCAGCATCACAAAAAAGCTGCCCTTGTTAGAAACTAACTTTGCATGCATAATTAATCTGAGCATCACATTCCTAGTTCACAAACAGAAGAGAAATTGAATTCAGGTGTTTGGTGAACATATGGGGGATTTACTGTGAATTTATGACCTGTGGTTTGAGTGTAAAACCCCAAGATACTTGCTGATAAAATTTAATGAACCTTGTGTAGAGGAGCTATTTTTATTTGTAGTTTGGTAATTGATCCATTTCTTCATTTAACCCTCCCACATTTTCTCCCATTCCTCATAAACCTTCCAAGCCTGATAGAAGGAACCATAGTGGAGACCCTGGTCTTCCTGGCCAGCTTGGTCTAACCTTCACCTAATTTGAAAAGTTCAGAGTTTGCTTTTCCGCATCGTTTTAGTCTGTTCCTTCCCTTCCCTTTTAATTTAGGCTTCTTCACTATACAGGTGACAGGAGGCAAACCCATATGCTTTGAGCAGGCACCTGGAAGGAAGTGATTCTTCCTTCCAAAAGAAGCAAAAGTTTTCAGAGAGGGGTGACATCGCTTTACAGTTTCTTAAGGAAGCAAAGATGTGGAGACACAATACAGATCATCATTAAAATTTAGGCAATGAATTCACTGCTGTCTCCTCCAGAATAAGCACACCATCAAGGGACAGGAACCTGCCGCACATAACCCTTGCCATCTCTCTCTGCCTCACCATTTATACGTACCTGATTCAAGTGCCTGGAGGGAAAACAAATGACAGTGTTCCATTTTAACATACGGGGTGTAATGGGTTTAATGAGAAACCTGTGTTTGCTCACTAATTTACAGCAATTAAGAACTTAGTTCTGACATCTGTAGATGAGAACTATTTATCTGGCGATTACAAGATCAGGAATATTTTATGGAATTGCTCATCAGCATAGAAAAATATCTAATGGCAAGAAGGTTGTTTACCTCTGCTCTCAGAATGATGTCAATTCCTGGTGGTTCTGCTTGGATCCCTCTTTAGTTCAGTGACATTTCTCCCCCCGACACTTTAGTCATCCCTGTTCAAGAACTTGTTTGTATCCACTTTATCATGCTGACAATCTGTCTGTTTTGAAAGGCTTACAACTCTGTACATGCGTGCATGACATCACAGTAAGACATTGCTTAATGATGTGAGACGCTGGTGGTCATTGCTGGCTGCCTGTTACTGAGGCTGCTTGACAGGTCTGCCCTACATCTGTTTCTCCCGGGGTCGCTTTTTTGCCGACTCCAGTTCCCATGTTGGCTTTCAATGCCCATGAAATAGCTGAATTTTAGTCGTACTATTGAGACAAAGGATGGAACAGTTTGACCCAAGAAGAACTAGTGAATAGGCAAGGAAGGAAAATTTGCTCTAAAGTTTCTCCAATGAACATGTTTCAAAAATGGCACTCTTGTAATGGTGTTTTCTACTTATTTATTTATTTTTTAACATAATAGTCAGGGTCTTTAATCCTTCCATTTATGTAACTACAAAAGAAGCCAATGAAGAAATATGTTTCCATTAAACAAGTAGACTAAAACACAGCACCCTCATATAACAATAGAATCATCATCTAAGGATGATTTCAAGTCCTGAAAATGTCAAGGTTCAAGAAAATAGAATCATAGTGGGTAAATGAATCAAGTTTTGGGAGCTTTGACCTATAATATTCTTTCTCAGTGTGCCATGGCATGGACCATAATGATTTGTTTCACAAGTCATAGGACTTTGAAGCTTTGGCGTTTGGAGGAGGAAAAAAAAAATCTCTTATGTAATGAGGTTAACAGTTAACATGGCTCTAGCATGATTTGTCCCTCAAGTGTGTGCATGGAATACCTGTCAGAGTGATAGAAATCTATCAATAGAAAAATGCTTTTTGAATGTGGTATCACATTATTTTTCAGGATCTTACATAAAATGTAGATATTGACTTTTGCATTTTTTAATTGAAAAAAGAATAGTGCCTCTTCGACATCTTCAGTAATTGAATGCCAAGTGCAGGTGTGAAATTCTCTAGCATTTAGAATAAAATTTTGTATGTCGTCCAAAGAGTAAATTGTTAGGCCTGGGAAGTATATAGCAAAACTGTAATTTGAAGGGCATCTGTTAAGTCCTAGACCTTTCCAGACTAAGGAAAACAAATTTTTAACTTGGACTAATTTCTTTTAGGTTATGTATTTGATGCAGATCCCAACAGGTCTTCAATCTCCTTCAGAAAGAGAAAGTAGGAGTGAGCCATTGAGTTCTGTTTTACAAAAAAAAAAAAAAAAAAAAAAAAAAAACCTAGTCATCAGGTATATTTTCATCACACTGCAGGAAAATACCCATACTCTTACCTGAGCCTCCTGAGAGCTGATTGGTCTCATCAGGGCCAATGAGTTCAGTTTTACCAAAGAACCTGGTCAACAGGCTGTGGTCAGCCAGGTTGGGTTCTCAAGTGGATGCTACACTAAGGAAGTGCCAGTTTTCTTGTTCCTATGAATGTTGGCAGAATTCTATTCCTTGCAGCTGTCCTCAGAAGCAACAAGGGGACAGAGACGTGCAAGGTGGATGCCATGTTCTTCTGTGATTTCATAAATGTAATCACATCCAGTCCATAATTATTGCCCCTTGTCATTGTTTAGAAGGAAACAGGAGTTCTGTGCACACTGAAAGGTAGGGGATTACAGAAAGTTGGAATAGCAGAAAACAAACACCTGGGTGCCACCTTAAAGTCTACCCACCCCAGATAATTGCTGAACAATTTACTCTGCCGTAAGCAAGGGGGAGATAAACTTTATACGTGTTAGTGGTTAGGATGATGGCACACACTTGAGGAAACTACTCCCACATGCAAAGTGTCATATACACTGTGAGACACTATTTGGACCAGAGAACAATTGCAGAAGAATGGTTAGGAAAATATGAATGTGGGCTGGAGTGATCAGGAAAGTCTGCCAGGAAGTGGAATTTGATTTCTTTTACTCACTAATAGAATTTGGAAGAATGGGGAAAAAAAGAGAGGGTATGAAAGAAGGCAAAATATGAGCAGATTTATCTTCCTCTCTCCTTTGGCAGCTTTTCTTCTTTTGTACCAGACATTATAATCATCTCCCTCTTCTGAGCAGCATGGAAAACCAGCCTCAATTCATTTCCTCCCTTCTGTTTACCCTCTCACTTTCTTTCATTTTTTTCCCCCCATGGAAAGGAAAGTGTACCAAGATGGTACCTCCTTATTTATAAAATGAGTGGTTGATTCTCCCTTCCTTTGATTTCTGGGTCTTAAAGCTCTGCCCTCGATTCCAGGTTTCCAGATTTCTTTTGCATAATTAAAAATGCAAATGTTGAAGTATTTTTAATCCATAATGAATTAATCAGTCACATCACAAACTCCTCTCTCTTAGCTTATGCTCCTCTGAAAAATAGGCCAGAACTCAAGCCCACAAGAAAGTGTATCCAAGTTCATTTTAGACAAATTGGAGGGAGAGGACAGTTTAGGAGCTGCAAGTCTATAAGGCAATGCTCAGTTGTCAGGTTTTTTATATACTAGTTCTTCAGTATCCACAGGTTCCAGGACCCCCTCAAATATCAGTCTTTGGATGATGAAATTCCTTACATAAAATGGTGTGGTGTTTGTATATAACTTCAAAATACTTTCCCATGTACTTTAAATCATCTGTATACTACTTCTAATACCTAACAGAATGAAAATACTGTGTAAATAGTTGTTACATTATATTACCTAGGGAATAATGATACCAAAAATGGCTGTACACATTCAGCACACAACACAATGTGTTTTCAAATATTTTTTCCTTCCTAGGGTGGTTGAATCCAAGGATGCAGAACCTGTGGATGTTGAGGGCCAATCTATTTGATTTGGGGGGTTGTTACTAGGGGACCACAAGCCTTATCTTGATGCAATGGAAGTAAATAGCCTGGAAAAGCAACATATGAAACAGACAGCATCTGCCTAATATAAAGCAGAGAGGTTGCAGGCTAGCTGCCAAGAGAACAATTTTGTTTGCCTTACCTAGCATTAAAAAATAAAATAAATCCAATTTTAAATTTGGGGAAAACCTATATTTCTCACTTCTCTTTTTAAAAAATTGGAAAGCAACACCAAGCCCACATCCCTCCAGTTTCTCTCTATGGGAACGAAGGACCTCCCTCTCTAAACCAGGCATATCACCCCCATTTGTCATAGAATGTACATGGGTGTTTCCAGTGCTATAGATTCTCCTTCATTCTTTAGTTAACTAGTTACCATGAAGATACTGGAATTTTTGTTAACTACGAAGTCTCCAGGCATCATTTTTCACAGTATTGTCCTTATACCTGCAGTATTTTCTGAATATATGCAGGACCCTGAGCTCTGTATTAAACTGACTAAAACAGAATATCTAAAGGTGAGCCTCAGCAATCAGTTATTTTTTTTTTTTTTACAAGCTCCCTGAATGATCCTCAGACACACAGTGTGTATGCATGAGAACCCCTGTTGTGCATTTTCAGTTCTCACCATACCTGGGAGGTTTTGAATTAGTATGCCTGTGGAACAAGGTGTAGGACTGATCCAGTGCTTACTTGCAAATAGTTCATTGCTACATTTAGCATGAATGGGTATTTTCAACTGCCTTTAGGAAGCACATTACATCACATCTGAAGGTGATGAAGCCTCATACACTGTGGTCTGCCTCTGAGAGGGCAAGGTGCAATCCCTGTGGCAATTATGGATGGGAAAGATCTGAGCTCCATATTGTTCAAGGTCATATTGTGCTGTGAATGCTTGGTTAGAAATCTCTGTAGTGTGGGATCCTTGATTAACCTCATCCGGAAAAAAAAAAAAAAAACCCAGATCATTACTGAACCAAAACCAGTCTTAACTTCTTCTTAAGCTTGCATGCTTCTTTCTCTCTCTCTCTCTCTCCACCACCCCCCCAAAACACACACACACACACACACACACACACACACACACACACACAGTTTCAGTTCAGCTACAAAAACCAATGTGTAAGAGGAGGCTAAGTGCTTTGTATTGGACTAATACTGTCTCTTTTATCTCTTTGCCCCAAAAGCATCTGTATAGGCCCCCTCATCATTTCTGTTCAGATCCTGATCATGCATGCTATCTGGAAATAATGATTTAGTGACTCTTCATTAAGAGTTTTATTGTCTTACTCATCCATCTGATCAACTTAGGTGGTATTTTTTATTATATTGCTCATACAAAAAATAGCATTTTTAAATTGGCATTGAACCTAAATCTAAGTTGATCGGGATGTGGGGGATCAGTCTCTGTTGCTAATGAATATTTAAAATTTCCTTTGGCTTTCTTGGCAGAAAAGCTCACCAGGAGATTTAGAAGGCCACATTTGAATTATTGGCCCTTTATAGACTGGCCTGAGAAACAGAACTGAACCATTGCAAAGGTTTCATCTCTTGAAGCCAGGATTTCACCTTCAGACTGCCAACTGCTGATCCCCAAGGATGCTTGACAGTCTTCCAGTCTTTGGAAATCATCATCAATCATGAACGATTGCAGCCTGTTTTCCAACTTCAATCCTGAAAGTGGCTTTGCTAGTCTGAGGCCAGCCACTCAGCTTTCTCTAGAGCATAGGAAGAAAGAGAGCAAAGGCAAAGGAGGGGACAAGCCTCATTAGCTTCCCAGATTTGGAAATCAGGGCGAAAGTGACTTCCAGAGCTTGTCTTTTACTCTGAAAACCACTGAGGCCACCATAATTTAAAATTGAGGACACTGGGTCAACTTCCTTTGTTGGGAGATTGAATTTTCACTAATTACAAATAGTAGGAGGTCAGTTTTCATCAATGGCTTAGACTTCATGAACCTAATAAATTGTAGAATTAAGACTTTGCTGCATGGTGATAATAATAGAGAAATATTTCTGGTTAGAATTGTAAAATACTTTGTCAGTTAAGCCTCCTGCCATCCTCCCATTAAGAGCTATGATGTATGCTAGGAACAAAAAAAGACACAGCTGGGAAGGTGACAGTGGCATTAATGGATGCTCACTTTCTCCTCTCTTTGTCTTATGAATTTAACCATCCTGATGCCCCCACCACCACAGTTTCTTATAGAGAGCAAGGAGCTCTATAGATTGGACATTATATTGGGTAGCCATTACTGAAAATTTATGTGGAACAGCATAAGATGTTGCACATATTTTTACAAAGCCAGTGCCTGCCACCTGCCTGCCTCCAAATTGTGGAGGACAGTTTGAAGCTATACCCAGTGTGGGCCGAAGCCTTCCTCAGTCAAACCACACATTTTCAGACTTATTTCAATGTTTAACATTTTCAGGCTGATCATCTCAAGCTATTTGCCGAGGAGGACAAGCTTTCATTGACTGAGAAAATAATCAAATTGAATAAATTGAAAGGATATTCCAGAAGTACTAATGAAATCGCTGCAAATCATGAAGGAGACTGGGACCTTCAGTGATTCAGTGATGAAAGACCATCTCATAGTCTTGAATAATGTTAACATTCTAGTCCTACATGTGTGTATTTTCTATTTGATATATATTTTTTAATTTTGTTTTTTTAGTTTTAGATGGACACAATACCTTTATTATATTTATTTATTTTTATGTGGTGCTGATAATTGAACCTAGTGCCTCACACATGCTAGACCAGTGCTCTACCACTGAGCCAGCCACCAACCCCAGCCTTCTATTTGAGATTTTTAAACCTTCAAAATATGTGGAGTTATTTGTAGGTATAAGTCTCTCTGAGAATTTTATAAACTGTACCATGACAGACTTTGTCTTTCTAAGCTACCTCTCACAAATTGACATCACCAAGGCGGGTATGCTGCTCATAGATCTTTAACACTAAGTAACCAGGGCAATGTATTTTCTTTTCTGTACTCCACTGATCTTCCTTCAATTTTTGTGAGATTCTTCCAATTTTCTTTTCCTTTTTTCTCTCTAGCTTTCACATATGAGAGAAAATGTATGACTCTTGACCTTCTGAGTTTGGCTTATTTCATGTAACATAATGTTCTCAAGTGCTATTCACTTTCCCCTAAATGACATAATTTCATTTTTCTTTATGGCTGAATAAAACTTCATTGTGTATATATACCACATTTTCTTTATCCATTCATCCATTGATGGACACCTACACTGGTCCCATAGTTTGACTATTGTGAATTGTGCTGCTGTAAACCTGAGTATGCATGTATCACTGTAGTAACATGACTTTAATTCTCTAGGATAAATACTGAGGCATAATATAGCTGGATCACATGGTGGCTCCATGTCATCATGTTTTTGAGGACTCTCCATTCTGACTTCTACAGTGATTGTACTAATTTACAATCCCACTAACACACTAACAGTGTATGAGTGTTCCTTTTTCTTTATATCCTTTCTGGCTTTTTTTTTTTTTTAACCAAGGATTAAACTCAGAGGTGCTTAATCACTAATGTGAGCCACATCCCAGCCTGTTTTATTTTGAGACAGAACCTCCCTAACTTGCTGAGGCTGGCTTTGAACTTTGGATCTTCCTGGCTCAACCTTTTGATGTACTGGGATTACATACAGGCATGCACTACCACACTGGGCTCTGGCATTTATTTTTGTTTGTATTATTTTTTTAAAAAATTATTTATTTATTTGTTCTAATTTGTTATACATGACAGAAGAATGCATTTCAGTTCATAGTACACAAATGGAGCACAATTTTTCATTTCTCTGGTTGTACACAAAGTAGAATTACACCATTCATGTTTTCATACATGTACCTAGGGTAATGATTTCCATCTCATTCCACTGTCTTTCCTATCCCCATGCCCCCTCCCCTATTTTCCCTCTCCTTTGCCTGATCCAAAGTTCCTCCACTCATTCCATGCCCCCACCCCCCACATTATGGATTAGCGTCGACTTATCAGAGAAAACATTCAGCCTTTTTTGCGGGGGTTGGCTTATTTCATTTAACATGATATTCTCCAACTCCATCCATTTATCTTCAAATGCCATGACTTTTTTCTCTCTTAATACTGAGTAATATTCTGCCATTTATTTATACCACAGTTTCTTTTTTGTTTGTTTTTTTGATGACTGCCATTCTGTGTGAGAAAATCTCAGGGTAGTTTTGATTTGCATTTTCCTAATTACTAGAGTTGTTGAGCATTTTTTATAATATTTGTAAGCCATTTGTATTTTCTCTTTTTTATTAATTTTAAAAAGTGACAGCAGAATGCATTACAATTCTTATTACACATATATACCACAATTTTTCATATCTCTGTATATAAAGTATTTTGATACCCAATTCGTGTCTTCATACATGTACTTTGGATAATGATGTCTATCACATTCCACCATTGTATTTTTTATTTTGTGAAGCATCTGTTTAATTCATTTGCCCATTTATTAATTGGGTTTGTCGAGGGGGGGCTTAAGTTTTTTGCATTCTTTATATATTCTAGATATTAATCCTCTCTCAGAAGTATGGATGCCATAAATTTTCTTTCATTTTGTAGGTTTTTTCTTCACATTCTTAAATGTTTCTTTTGCTGTGCAAAAGATTTTAATTTGATGCCATCCTATTTATTAACTCTTGGCATTATTTTCTGAACTTTAGGGGTCCTATTGAGAAAGTTGTGGGAAATATGTTTTTAGTGAAGAGCCTCTGATCATCCTAATAGCTTGCAGCTTCCAATTCTTCCAGCAGTTTGGAAGATATATGACTTTTTTATTGACCTCAAGGAGTATGAAGTTTTCATACTTCATAGTATGAAGTATGAAATATACCGGAATATACCTGGTGTGCTTTCATAGCATTCATGACAGGGTGTGACTAGTGTCTCAGTGAATGGAATAGGCAAGAAGTATTGTGAGATTTAAGATTGACTTAATTTTGGTCATTGAGCTGTGTTTTTTTTAATACAAAAAATACAAAAATACTGTTTTAAAGACTTATATAATTTTGCAAAGGGGGTCTTTGGAATCTGACATTTATTTTACTAAGTAATACATGTGGCATAGTGATGTGGGAACTACACTAGGAGCCAGAAAATCTGGATTGTAGTCCCACTTTCTCTATTGGCCAAATGAGAGACCTCAATCAAGCAAGCTACCTGCTATCAGTTTCCACATTTGCAAATGTGTGTGGGTGTGTGCGTGTGTGTATGTGTAATACTACCTTCTATATTACTCTTACAAGCTAAACTCTTTGTAGGTATAAAACAAAATTCAATGTTGTACGAACAGAAAGTGTAATTGTTAACTAAATGGTTAAATTAAACTACCACTTGAACTCATCTTTTAAATATTTTTTTTTTATTTATGCTGTGAGAGTAGTGTTTTTTCATAGACCTCTGATGACTCATAAATAAGAACTTTATATAAAGGCATTATGAAAAAAGAGTGCTGCACATTTGTGAGGAAACCTTTTATGGTGTCATTTCACTTGATTATTATGATAACTATGATATCTAGAACAAAATTATCTCCATTTCACATCAAGAAACTCTTATCAGAAGGGAGGAGCTAGAGCAGGACCCTGGTATCTCTGCTGCCTAATGCCATGTCCTTTCCCAAAACACTTCACTGCCAGTACCTCACCAGATTACAGAAAGGAGATGAGGCTTTTAAAGATCAATGGGGCGGGGGATATCTAAAAATACCATATATCCTCTTTGATATCTGTCTGAAATAACTGTGCAATAAGCACCAACATATTTTAAATGTCCAGATACTGTTTTAAAAACTCACTTCCTCTTAAATAACATCCTTTCACAGCAAGTTGCCATTTTCCCTAGCAACTGCAGCTCACAGATCATATTTCTGACGGGTGTTCATTGTTGCCCCTTGTCTCTTCCAGCAACCGATCAACTCCTAGCAACCATGATCGGATACAGCGTCTGCGGCAAGAGTTTCAGCAGGCGAAGCAAGATGAAGATGTGGAAGATCGGCGACGCACCTATAGCTTTGAACAACCATGGGTTAGTATGTGGTTCTTCAGCACAGTGAAGGTCCTACAGCTTCCCTGCAGTTAAGGACCCAAAGCTATGACTTCAGTCCTTTAAGAAATGAGACAAGATGGAGCCAAATTCCTTTGACCTTTAACATATTGACCTTTTCCTCATTTCCATCTGGGTTTCATCATTGCTAATTTCATTTTATATCTTGTTCCACCATCTGTCCATTGCATAATAGGTTTAATTAGCCTTATGACAAGACATAGAAAAAATATTCATGCCCTCAACTGTGTATTTTTATTAACTTTAGTAAATATTTTTCTATAGAAACATCAGAATTAGAGCCAAACTAAGTTAAACACATTTATCTCTATTTGTGTCTGTGAGGCACAAAGTACAGTGTTTAATAATGATTCTTGAGTCTTTATTCTCCCTCATCCCCCTTGAGTATTGTCAAATCACTCTCATTTATCCGTCTACATCTCTATTCCAGTCTCTCCTCTGCACAGCCTCCAGAGAGATCTTTCTAGAACAAAATTTCAAATGTTTTTCTCAATACCAGACCTGTGTCCTTTTCTTGTGTTTTATTCTAGAAATGATGGCATCTTTGTGAATAGATGTGTTGGAGCAGACTTGAGTTTGAGATAATGAGGATTTTTGAGAGTGAGTCAGAGACAAATAAGTAAGCTGATTCAGGTAGAAAAATTCAGGTCTGGATATTCTACAGTCCAATCAACCTAGTAAGAGAACCATGACTAAAAATGCTTAGAGGAATGGGAGTAAAGAAAAATAAATTTATAGATTAATTCTCTGATAGAGAGTGGTAAGATAGGCATGGCAGAAAGTAAAGGAAGGCATTCTGGAGTCCCGGTGAGATACTGGTGCAGCATCACCTAATCTGGGCAGGGTGACAAGGAAGGATTGTCTGAGAGCTTGGGAGTATGAAAGAGTGATCGGAAATTTAGGAATTTTCAAATCTAGGAGGTTATAGTCAAAACACTGTGTATTTTTGGATTCCAAGATCTTGAAGGTGCCAAAGTTCTGGATAATGTTGAAATCTAATGTTGTGCATGAATGTTACAGAAACAGAGGTTAGTGCCAATAAATTTGATGAGTCCAGTTTGGATAAAGTGTCAGGAGTAGAATTAATTACACTAAGTTTTTGAGAAGCTAGGGGCAAAAGATTTGAAGTAAAAACAAATGATCCTATTTTATTTGTAGAAGGATAAACCATCCAACTGAAGCAGAATTGAAGGTTAGGTATTTTGAAGGGAAGTAGAGATTAAAGGTAGAAAAGTAGTAGGAGGCTTTGATGCTAGATTAAAAGTTGGAAAAGGGATGGTACCAGAGCAGAACACTGATCCACTAGCCCTCCAGGCTTCAGTTTTCTTATTTGTTAAGTCAGGAAGATTAGAGCAGGGATAGTTACTAAACCCTGTGATCATATGAAAAAAGGCAACTGGGTGTGCAAAGCAGATACAGAGTTCCGCTAGTTGAATGCAGAGCCGCTGCAGAGCTAGTTAATTGCTGTCAGGATCAGATCTTCTTGAAGTGTGCTCCATAGGTCAGATCTTCAGTTGTTACCTGGAAACCCATTGGAAACACACATTCTTGCACCCTGGTTCAGACCCATTAGATGAGCACCTCTGTGGGTGGGGCCCAGGAAACTGCATGTTAGCAAGCCTCCAACATTAAGAAGCACAGTGTTCTAGAGTCTGGATGGTCCTTGAGATCCTTTTGGTCCTAACCTGAAATAACCAATAAATTACATAAAGCAAGAAACCCATAAAGTTTCCTGATTAAGGGATTTAATAATTATAGTGGAGTTGAGGAAGATTAATTTCGAGGTGAAAGGAGAAGAAGGAAAGTAGTTCTACATTGAAAGAATTCACTTTAGTTTAGGTAAGGAAAAAGGGACCTTGAAATAGGCCACTGGCAATATGGAAACAGCATCCTGGAGTAAAAATAACTCATGAAATCAATCCTTTGCCTTATTTGGGGAGGTTATAAAACAAGTTTAGCAAGCCTAATATCAATGAAAATATCGAATTGTCTTCTTCAACAATAGTGCTATTTGTGGTATTTTTTTCCTAAGGCATTTAGTTTATTTTTCTAGATGATTAAGTAAATCAAGTCATTTCCATGGTAGCAACAGGACAGAATTGTTTTCATCTCCTCCTGTCATTTGATATAATCCACTCCAACTACTCCCACTATGTTTTTTAAAGCAGAATTTTTTTTAATGATATATGGTAAATATGTTCTTAATGATGTATATTTGCACAAAGGAACTGAGAAGAATGAAGAGCATATTGTCAACCTGAAGAAAACAGCAACTGCAGGTGGAAACAGATGTCACACACACACACACAATGGCTTATCATTCCCATACTCTACCAAGGGGAGCAGCATTAGGCCATTTTACTCTACTGGAGAGTGTGGATTTCTAACCAGCATCTTTATAACATTTGTTTTTTTAAACAAATTATTTAATTCATCGAGTTTATTAGGGTTTACTATGGTTCAGTATTATGCTTAATAAGAAGAACAAGAACAGGAAAGAAAGATTGTCCTTAGAACACCACAGTAGAGCTGATACAAAGAAGGACACTGTACAGTATCGAAGGAGCATGTTGCATAAGCATGGGACAGACACACAGGAGAGAGGCCCAAACCAGTTTTAGGTAGACAGGAAAAGTTTGAAAGAAACCTTCTTGGAATATATCTTGAATACCTAAGTTTGAGAAGTAGAATGACATATCTTTGGAAACCAAGGTTCATGAATTTGTATCTGATTGGTGACATTGTATCACATACAAAACCTCCAAGTTCCAGGCTAAATGAGGGTTTCCTACTTCTTAGCATTGCTGAAATGCTTTTCATTAAGAGAAGTCAAAGTCATTCAAAATCTGTGTTTTGGAAGTTTTTAAATAAGATTCTTTTCAATAAGAGCAGTGAATATATTGACACATATATTTTATGTTATCTATTTAATATGAGCAGTTGTTCTAGGGAAAACATTTGAGATAATCTTGTACATTTGGAAACTCAACTACTGAAGGTCATAGGCCAAATTTTTGTATATCAAAATACCATTGGAACTTTTAGACAGACAACTTGGCTTATATTATTGTTTCCTGTAATGAGTGAGCAGGGAATTATTACTTGGATGACAGGCTTATTACCTTAGGAAAGGAATAATTTCCTAAATTGTGGGTCGGAAGTTGACCTTTTCTTTTTCTTTTCTTTTTTTCATATCTAAACAATTGGGATCTTGCTGTGGACTTTCCGTTCTACTGATCATGTAAATGAGCTTAAAGTGACTATAATTCTGCTTAGTGTATTAATTTTCATACCAATTCTTATTGTTACCTTAGTAAGAGCTGCTCAGTTCCAAATGTAATTTGGTATATGGTTTTTATTAGCCATTTTACAAAATGAGCTTTGAGTATCTTGGACTCCTTTCTCCTCTTCCCGTATGTCTTCTGACCTTGCAAGGTCACTCTGTTTGGAAAGGATGAGAGCATGATCTCACCCATTGGAATGGTTTGTAATCATTTTAGCCTTATGGAGCCACAAACTCATCTTCAAGCTGTGTGTACAACTTAGACCATATTAGTAGAAATTGTCATGCTTGTTAGAAATGCCCACACACAAAGTGCAACCAGATGTGTCACACAGAAAAATATCCAAGCCAATTACTTTACATACAGGGTAGGATGCTGCAGAAAATTTATCCAAGTAGCCCTTTTCAATTCATCTATTTTGAAAAAGGGCTGTACAAACTCTAGCAGTATGGAATGCACCTGCTCATGGGCCTTTGTTCAAAAATAATGTTTGGGCCTGAGGGAGCTGATCCGTGGCACAAAAAGTCTTTAGATGAGCATGGGCCCAGAAAATTTCCTCAGCTCCATAATTGAAGTCAGTTCTCCCCCAAGTTGAGTAAGAAGAAGGAAAAGCAACTTCTACCTCACATAGTGCCAGGTGCAATCTAAATAAAGCAGCAAGTCGCTTTCAATCTGTCTTAAGATAATGGAACAATAGCTGAGGTTAGGGCTATTATTACATAGCTCAGATATGGACAGGACTTAGCATTGCTTTTAAAAGAATTAAATTGCAGGCTACACACATAAGTACAGTATGCTGTTAAAACTTTGCAGATATGAGTGTTGCCCACCAGAAAACTTGCTGGCTGAGACGATTGATAGGTGGGATAATGGATCCTTTAATAGCTATATTGCTAAATCCTTTCCATCCCAGGTTGGTAGTGAAAGTAGTTTAGTCCTTCAGGTAGAAAATTGACACTCTGCACTATGAATATCCTCTTCTCCCTCAAGCTTGCTTTCTTCCTTGTTTTAAACAAATAACAAAATCTGCACTTTCCTCCATTTTCCTGGACCTTAATAGCTCTTCTTACCCCTTTTAGGGTTTTGCCTCTTTTAATTGGCAAGCCAATTACAGTGAACAGCCACTCTATGCTCCTAGATTGCCTTTCTATGCCTAGGGATTTGAGAAAATTGTGGTCTTCCTTTTGTTTTCCTCTTTTTTAAGATTTGAAAGGTAGCTGCTGTCATTTCTTCATAGTGGCTTCCATACTGTGACTCAAAAAAATTCTGCTTTCATGATCCCAGCTCAAACTGGGTGGCAATCACCTACCTTAGAAACAGACCTGGAAGAAACCATTCTTTTAGCAAAGGAGTACCCTTTGCCCATAGAGAGAGCCTCTATGCTTCTACAAAGTAGACCCCTTTATTTTTAGCACCATGACTTCTTTCCCCAGCCAAACCCCCCATGACCCATAGGCCATTTCACCACAGAAGGTTAGGGTGGCAGAAGCTCGTGAAGGAGCCTTTGGCTGCCATTAGCACCTGACCTAGAGTGCCTGGCTTGTTCTGTAGAGTTTTTCTTTGATTTTAAACATACTTGTTAATTAAGGTGAGGAAATCAAATAGACCCAAGCACTAATGAGAAAGATGAGAAAAAGACAAAAACGGTGTCAAAAACCCAAATGTGCAAATATAAAATCTCTACGAGGGAAATAGGTATGCTCTGCAGATTTTTAAGCCAAGGCTCAGGTTCTCCATAGCAATTAAGATTTTCAACATTCAGAACCCACAACAATTTAATTGCTGTGATGGGGCAGAGGGCTAAGAAGCCAGGGCAGATAGACACAATTGGATATTGTTTTGATTAAACGTTATAAGAAGTCTACCATAGAAAATAATTGCCACTATTATTAATGATCACTTTTAAGGAAATAGTTTATACTCTTTACATGATTTGGTGCATAAATATTATTTCTACCCTGTACCAAATCTTTAAATTGACATTTTATCAGATTATGAAATTCATAGTAGAGTCACAAAACATTGGGATTGCTAAAATAAGGATTCTCCATCTTAAAGGGATATCATTGATGATTTATTATTATTTTCATCATCAACTATTCTCATCATAATCATTCATGATAGGTTTACATCCAAAGCACAGTAACTTTTTTGTATTTTATCATTTATTTATTTATTGGATGGGTACTAGGGATTGAACTCAGGGGCACTCGACCACTGAGCCACATCCCCAGCCCTATTTTGTATTTTATTAGAGACAGGTTCTCACTGAGTTGCTTAGTGCCTCTCTAAATTGCTGAGGCTGGCTTTGAACTTTCGATCCTCCTGCCTCCACCTCCCAAGCCGCTGGGATTACAGGTGTGCACCACTGTGCCGGCCTATAATTTTGTTTTGTATATATGCCCTGAGTCATATGTGTGAATTTGGACATTTGTTGTTATTCATAATTTTATAGAAAATCAACTCCAAGTGATCATTTATATTTGTGTATCTATATAGACAGATGCACATATGTATACACTATTTTTCTTGATGAAGAAAATTGGCTATTTTAAAGATTATTGAATATTTTATGTAAATGTTAGTAAACAAGTAATGATTTTATTATGAACACGTACTTCTATAGCAAGCTGTAAAAAAGAGTTTTACAGTGTTACCTACATATAATTAGTACTGAAACTTTGCACTGTTATATTTATTTTTATTCGTTAGTGTATTAACTATTTTGTTTTGTATTTTTATTTTTATATTTTCCATTTTTATTTTGGAAAAATAAGAATGATTTTAATTCTTTGAGAGATGCTTAGTTAGTGACTTAACTCGATGAAACTCTACATGGAAGATATTTATTACACAAAGTTATACCAAAATTATCTAGTCTTCTCAAATTTCAAATATTGTCTCTTTATAATCATAGTGAAAAACTTTATAGCTCCCTTATTTCAAAGGCAACATGAATATTTTTTTACTTGTGGTTTTAAAAATAAGGCATGAAGAGATTCCAGAGTACTATATAATAATCATATTTCTTTCTGTTTTAAACCTTCCACTGTTATTCTGGAATTGGCATTCTTAATATTTTTTTTTCTTATTTATAAGATTATTTTTGTAACCCATCCCATCACAAACAAGGTCTGGGTTATTTGTAATTTGTACTTCTGAAACAGAGCCTCATCTCATTGTCTGAAGAATCCCCAGGATTATCACAATTGTGTCTACACATGCATTTCCGTGTTCAATTATTACGTTAGTGTTATAGTCATCAATAGTGCTTTCTTTGAAAATATGCAGTTTGTAAGGTTTATTTCTTTAATTTTGTGATTTTTGCACTCAGATGTATGATTTTTGTCTCTGCCATAGGAACTGAAGTCATTGTATTTAAAGTAGGATTATCAGTTGTAAAACTTCTCGTAATTTACATGCTTATGAGGTCTTCATTGAAATTGTGAATAGAGAGGTCTCTCTTTTTTTTTTAATTCAGGCCAAGTGTAAAACTTGCCAGAATGATTTTATTGAGTTGCTGCTATGGGATAGTTGTGAATGCAATCTTCCTTGAAATGTGTGGCCTATTAGAGTTTCATCTTAAAGATAACAGTAATTATCTTAACTAACCTACCCTTTGCATGCTTTGGAAAGAAAAATGGAATAAGATTGCTAATGATGAAACTGATATTCATATTTCATGATATCAAGCATGGTAGCATGAAATATGTCATTTTGCTAATACCAGATTCATTCACTCAATTAAAGTTTATGGGCCCCAAATGCTGATATTTCATTACTAGAATTCATCAGGATCCAAGAAGATGCTTGCAGCTGGCTTTGAGCTGAACAGTGTCAGAAAACACACAGTTGAGGAAACAAAAACCCTTCAACTTCTTTTTTTTTTTTCTGTGTCAGAACAAAAATTTCAGGCTACTTGAAGAAACAGCTTAAAAATACACCTGAAATTTCTACAAGACCTTGCATTTTCTTTTCACATCTCTGCAAGCAGTGTGTCACAGAACAGCATGAGCTTAAAAAACTGGTTACTAAATCCTGCTGCAGAATGCCATATCCTTCAAGTCTGCTTGACACATGTAGATGGCTTACGCTGAGTGAAAAGGAAAGGAAAATGTGATTCTTTGTGAAGGTGTAATGGGAACTGTGTAGTGCCTTCTTGCTTTGCTTTCCCTCTGTCCAGTGGCTTCCCTCAAGCTTCCCTTGGCTCCCCATGTACAGCAAAGCAGTTCAGTAGCCTATTTGGTGAGTCTCAGCAATTGTAATGGAAGTAAATGTCTGTCTCCTTTAATGGAGTTGATGAACAACTGGTTGATGCTTTGTTTGCATAAGCAGAATCTCACTCAGAGAAGTGTTTTTTCTTGCTGAAGGCACCACTGATGTGTTATTTGAACGGAGTTGTGGAGTGAGTCTCTGAACACACATTTGTCCCAATGAGTGTGGTTATAAACATTGACTAGTAGAGACCAGGGTATTATAAAGCCTAATCTTTACACACATTATTTTTGTATCAGGATATTTTTAATATGCTCACTGACTATACCCATATGCTTGGAAATTTTTGTCCTGGATATTGCCTCATTATTGCTTACCAACAAATAAGATAATGCTGGCCTGGCAGGAAGAGAACAATAGATGCTGTTTGATTTCTGTTTAGACAAAAGCCAACCCAGAAGAGACATGTTATCTTAACCACTGTCCAAATGAATACTAAGATTTTGTCATTTTAGAAAATTATTATTGAGTCAAAGTCTGCCACTGGCTTTCAACTCCAAAAGAAAATCAATAACATGTTCTTAGCAGACATTCTTCATGTAGATATGCCTGTTGCACGATGTTGCTCAACACAAGGGGGAACAGAGGTTAGCAAGTGCTGGGAAGGAGGACTTAAGGGCACTGGCCCTGGATGCAATGATAAACCGTTGCTGGGTGTTTTGTTATCTTAGAGGTATCGCCTTCGATTTCGAGCAGAGCTACTTTAATTTCCAAAGGCCAGATCTGGAGGGTAAACTAACAACTGTCAGTGAGAACTGGAAACATTCTCAGGGCCTCCATTTATACAACACAGTGCAAATTGAATAATCCAGTTTTGGTGAGAAGTACCAATCAAAAGATGACCTGATGACCAAACTAACCAAACCAGGAGAATTGAAAATCTCTCTTTAGGTCCTAGCCTCTGGTAGTGAAGAGAGAATGATTTATATGGCTTTCTACCGCTAGACTGAATATACATAAATACCCCCCAAATTCACCAGCACAATTGTACTAGTTAGCCTTTGTGTTGCTGTGACCAAAAGACCCGGGCAGAAACAACTTAGAAAAGGAAAAGTTTATTTTGGCTCATAGTTTCAAAGGTTCAGTCCACAGTTGGGCAGCTGACTCCATAGATTTGGGCTTGAGGTGAGGCAGAGCATCATGGAAGAAGGGTGTGGAAGAGGGAAGCAGTTTAGAACATGGCAACCAGGAAAGGCAGGGGGAGATGAGCAAGCGAATGTGTGTGCAGGATCACTCTGCTCCCTAGGCATAAAATATAAACCCTAAAGGCACACTCCAAGTGACCTACTTCCTCCAGCCATGCCCCATCTGCCTATAGTTACCACGAGGTTAATCCATCAACGGACTAATCCACTGATTAGATATTGGCTCTTATAGTCCAATCATTTCACCTCTGAACATTCTTGCATTGTCTCACACACAAACTTTTGGGGCACAGCCCATATCTAAACCATAACAACAGCCAACTTTCAAATGTGGACTTTCCCACTTTTGTGAATTACTGCAGCAAATTATTATTTTTTGACATTATCATCTTCTAGTCTTCTGAGCAACTTACTTTTCTGTACTTGCTGTATCCACAAGGGATGTAAACTAGTATCTCATGTCTGTATTTCACAAATCTTATTGAGAAGATTAGCAGGATTGATTCCTCCAGTTTAAACCTGTACTGAAGCCAAAATCACAATTTAAGATGAAGTACTGGGGGCTCTGAAGGGAAATTACATGCCCCTTTTCTCAAAGAAACTTCATTTGAGGGGGAAGAAATATTCCCAGAATTTACAAAATATTTCTTAACGCAATTTTTAAGAATTGAAATTGGGGGCTAGTGTGCGGTTCAGTGATAGAATGCTTGCTGGCATAGGCATAGTCTGGGTTTTCATACCCACCAATGCCAAAAAAGAAAAAAAAAAGTGCAATTGAGTAAACAGTCACTTGATGTGTGTTGTAGTTTCGGTCTTGGTAAGGAACTGTGCTTTTCTCCTGCAGCCCAGCTCCCGGCCAGCAGCACAGAGTGGCAGGCACTCTGTGTCCGTAGAAGTGCAGGCGCAGCGGCAGCGGCAAGAGGAACGTGAGAGCTTCCAGCAGGCCCAGCGCCAGTACAGTTCCCTGCCTCGGTAAGCATTGGTGGCTAGGTCTTCAGGTCTGACCAGGCCTTGTAAAAAACATTCCTTTCCAAATTGCACTGGCTTCTCCAACTTGCCTCTGCAGTCACAGAAGAATTGTAAATGGATGGTTGCTTAGCTCAGGGAGAGCATATCTTAGCATATGACAAGAGTAGAAAGAAACGCATTTCAGAAGATGCCTACATTTTTACCCAACAACTCCATAACCAAAAGGGAAGCAGCATGATACATGGAACACTGGGCTGGGGGCGGGGGGGCCTGACCTGGATTCTAGTGTTGACTCTGCCATTTTCCCTGTGGCTGCAGAAAAAAATGTCTAACATCTGAAAAATGTTAAGATAACTCTTCTTTTGCTTGGCTCATAGGTAACTCGAATGAATAACGGATTATATAGCTAGAGCTTGGTAAAAAGAGAGAAGGGGATGAATGCTCTGTTCACTTAACTTTTGTGTGATCAGTAGACTCATAGAAGGTTTTTTGTTTAATATTCTGTTTCTTAGCTCCTTGAAACATGCCTTTAGTTTTTGAAATTCAAAAATATGATTAAAAAAGAATATAAAGGCATTTTGTTAGCTTTTTAATTGAAGAGTAATGTGCTTTCAGTGAAGTACATATTTTCAATGCATCGATCTTAAATGTACAGCAAATGAGCTTTGCCTCTCTACACATTCATGTAACCACCAACCAGGGGGAGAAATGTAACATTTACAGTGCAGCAGAAGATTCCCTCATGTCCCAGACCCCTTATGGTCCTGCTATTCCTGCTTTTGCTCAGTGTGGAAACACAGAGTCCTGTGTGGGGGTGTTCCACTCCTTAGCCTATGACAACCAAGAAAGGTTGTGTACTGAGCTCCCCAGGAAAGACACCCATGTTCTAGCTGTTCTCGGTGAAATAACTGGAAAGCTCTCAGGTGACTTCTCCCTAAGATTGACTTCTACTGATTACTTCCACTTAGAGCTATGGAAGTATTTCTTCTAGGCAATACATAGTTAATAATAAAAGTGTGGAAAAACATTCAACTTCTCAAACTTCCCCAAACAAGTCATTAGTGTAGTCACAATGGTTATACACATTTGGTGTCCTATTTTAAAACCAGGAGACGAATCATTTTGAGTATCAAAAGATCCGGTTGCCATATTGATGTCAAGTAGCCTTTTATGAATTTGAAGAAAACAATTTTGAAAGGAGGCAGATGTTTATCTGTGTGTACTTGACTGACCGTGTAAAAGTCATTTTCCGATTTCTACTATGATGAGTCTCCTTAAATATTCAACAGTCACCATAACAACCATGGGGGACTTCACATTGACAGGGGTCAGCCAAGGGAGCATGGGTATGAATGGCAGTGTCCACCAGGACAAGTGTCATCCACCAAGAACTGACTTGTTTAGTTGTTCTTTTTCAATCCGTAAGGCTCTATCTCCTTTGAGCAATAAATTGTTTTTTAAGTAGGAAGATTACCAACCAGCAGTCACTTAGGCTACTCTAGGTAAGAGTTATTGAAGTTCAGTTCTGTAGAGGTCTTTGGAAATCATCTTATTTTGTAAGGAAAAAGCTCAGAGAAATGTAGTAACTTCCCCCAAGTTCACACAGCTAACTAACTTCTTTTGCCATAAACCCAAACTTGCTCATGCCCTAAATCATTATTTTATAAGGCCCACCTTGCTACCAAGAGCTTTTGTTCCCAAGTACAGGGTGTTATTAGGTATAAAGTTCCCCTGGGTATTTTGCTGAGCTTAGAATATAGAGGAAGGGGCCACTGTATCAAATGCTAAACACCATGCACAAGGTTTTCCTTCTCCCAACTTGTTTGGCTTATATTCAAGAGAAAAGGTGGGCACGATATTGTGGATGAACTGGCATACTTGGTGTGGCCCTGACTCTATAGCCACATAAGTGAGCCATGGCACATGGCTTGTGTGAATGGAGTTGCAGGGCCCTTGCTCTTGTTTGGATTGGTAAAATGTTGGCTTCGTATAGTTCAGGTGTGTTTAGGAGTATTCATTCATAAGAAGGAAGGAGAACTAGAAAAATGTAAAGAACTAAGGAAAGGAGATAGGAGAGAATGCTGGTGGGGAGGGCCTGGAAAGCAGGCCCTGTAGGAGGGAAGAGAGATATTAGGATCTAAGGACTGGGAAGAGGAAGAATGTCAGTGAGGTGATCCCACAGAGCTTGCCCTGACCCCATTCCAAAGTAGCTCTTATAGTCTAAAACTGAGCCTGTTATTCAAGTCTTCTTCTTCCCCCGTCACTGTTTTTTTTTAAATTAATTAACATTTTTAATTACCACATTGTAATTGTACATATTTATGGTGTACAAGGTGACATTTGATGCATGTATGTAACGTGCAATGATCAGAGCAGTGTAACTGGCCTGTGTATCATCTCAGATGTACATACATCATTTATGTTTGAAACATTCACAATCCTATTAGCTACTCTGAAATATCCAGTTAATGATTGTCAACCATAGTTACACTGCTGTGCCCCTCTTCACCCCTCCTTTACTACCCATGTACCCCACTCTTCCACACACCTCTTTCTTCTTGCCTTGTCCCTCACCCCCCCCCACACACACACACTCCCAGCACTAGTAGGAGTGCTCACATGTACAAACACATGTACATGTGAGGTGCTTCTGTGATTACTAGTACTACTGCTTTTTAGAGTTTCACACAATAAAAAAGAAACTTTCCCTCTGGGCTAATTGTAGTTCCCTATTTTTAGTCATTGTATTCTATTTAGATATGAGAAAAGCAGACATCCCCAAAATAGTTACGTGAGTTTTGGCAAAAGGGGCTGGGAGCCCTTCTGCATCATGTTTTCTCGATTCTCTTCTTTTAGAGAATAACTTCTCAGTGTGAATCCTGGTATTTGTGAGGAAGGTAAGAAATGGGTAGCCCCCTACCCCAGCTTCATTCCTTGCAGAACAGTACCCCTCAAAGCAGGCTGCGTGTGGCGCAGCCATCTGAAGGAAGGCAAAGGACTCAACCAGCAGGTCAGAGGGGGACTTGGAGCAACCTACATGAGTTTGGGTCAAGTCCAAGTTTCTGACATGTGCTATTCTTCAGAGACACTTGACCTCTGCCTTTCGGATGTTGACAATTAGCAGAGTTTTGTCTAAACAAGTTGGTATGGCATTTGAAACCAAAAAGATTTCACGCACACACACACACACACACACACACACACGCACACACACACAAACATGCAGTTACAAAGTGGAACATAAAGTAAAACAAATGGTCAAGTCTTGGTATCAGTTGCATTAGATAAGGTGGTTTGAATTAGAGGAATGTATATGGGCCTGACTAGTTTGTAAATTCTAACTGTAATTAAGGAAATCCATGGGCAGAATTCAAGTCACATTTTGAAATGTCAATGAGAAACACTAGCCAGGTGGTAACACTAGTTTGGGAGGAAAGGGGACCTGAGTGGCCCCACACTTAATTCTCAATCAGGCTAGGATGTTTTCCTTTTTTTTGATTCCTAAATTAGTTCCTTACCTTAGTACCCAGAAGGCAGCTGTCACAGTGAGCAGAGGTGCATGCAGGCAAGGTCGATGATAGAAGGGCACTTATGATCCTTGATTCAATACTTCTCCTGTTTTCTTTTCCTGCTCACCGTTTCCTTTTCTTTCTCCCTTACCTCGGCTGCATGTCTGCCGAACGCCTCTGCTGTGCATGCCTCCCCACCAGTTGCCTCTCTGAGCCCTCACGTGTCTCCCCCACCACCACCCCCGGCCCATTTGTTACATCTACAGCCTGCTTGTCAAGCTTTTCAGCTTTGTTCTTTTTCTCTCTTCATCCTTCTTGTCCTCCTAAGTCCTTTCCTAAGGTCTCTAGATCTTTGGTTTATGTCCTCTCCATGACAATGGGCTTCAGGCCTTATGGGAGGTCACTGTAAACATGCGGAGGTAATTATTGCCAAACCAGGATATGTGTGTTAAGTGGATTCTAAAATCTCCAGTGAGCTCTTTGTGGGACCCAAGAAACCTAGGTGTTGGTTGTAAAGAAATCTGATGAAAGGAGATGGGTGCTTTTTGCTTTTTGCACTCGTGACCCCTTTGGCTGAGGGATCCTGGGGCAGCAGGGATAACCTCAGTCTCCAAGCAAGGACTTCTTCTGATCTCTGTGGAAGTGGTGTGGAGTTGTCCTTCCTTACTACAGGCTCATTACTTATTCTCCAGTAACTTTCTCTGCTCCATGATCTTTACCCAACACTTCTGACCAAGGAAGGGAAAATCAATAGTGTTTTTTAGCTTTTTACTGTGGTACAAAAGATGCCCCCTAAAACTGAGAGCCACCTCTTGAAAGGAAAAGTAACTTTGGGTTCAAATTGCTTCTCCAGTACTAAAGGCACATTATTCACTTTTCTAAGCACTTTACATGGGTGCTATTTCATTTATTTCCCTCCACGACTTTATGAGGTCAGATATGCCCATTTAACAGGGGAGCTAACTTGGATCCAGGGAGCATAACTTCCCCTGCGTCACGTGGCTGACACATGGCAGTTTTAGGATCTGAACCCATTTTGTCTGTTCCTCAGCCACTCTCCCCCTGTGCCCTGGTGCCTGAATGTCTAGTTTTCTAATGTTGGAACTCCTAGTGTCTGCTTCCTTTTTTAAAAAAAATATTTTTTAGTTGTTGATAGACCTTTATTTATTTTTATTTATTTATATGAGGTGCTGAGAATAGAACCCAGTGCCTCACACATGCCAGGCAAGTGTGCTACTGCTGAGCCCCAGCCCCAGGCCCTGCTTTCTTTTCTTGATCTCTTCAATCAACTCATTGTTCATCCTTTCCTTAATCAAGAGCTTATTGATAATAGTAGCTTCCCTACTGAGAGAGTTTGGGTGTATGTTTGTGTGGGTGTTTTGTGTGCACATGTGCACACATGTGGGTCTATGCATTTCCTCCGTATACTTACTTTCAAACCTCAGGGCAGTTTGCTTCCTTCTCTATACTGATTAATTTGAAGAAAAATTTTAGCTATGAGAAATTCATTCTCCCACATCATCATAATTTCTACCCCTAACAAACCTTAGTGAATTCTCAATGCATTTAAATATAGCAAGACTGTATGTTTCTGGGATGATCCAAAATTGAACTCAGTGGTGCACAGCCACCCTAAAGTGACGCCCCAGGCCTTAGGAGTTGGGAAGGAAGGGCATTCTTGAGTCTGAGTAGGACAAGAATGAAAAAGAGGTGAAATTTCTACAGTCTATTTCTGATTATCTCTAAATTGATAACCAACTCATAAAGGAATCCCCCCTTGTTGCTCAGATATCAGTAACAAGTTCGTTGTTTTAATTAAAGTTTCATGATTAATGTCAAATCCCTGGTTTCTTGCTGACACTTTCCATCATTCATGTCTCTAGGTAGATTAATTTATGACTTTTTAAGTGAAGATAATCAGTGCTTCAGGCAAGTAAACTCTTCCATCGAATCTAAGGATTCTTGCCTGGGCTGATTGTACAAATGGCCTGACTCCCACAAAAAGAGGGCCAGATAGTTCTCCTGTAGACTCTCTAATTAATCATAGTTAGATCCAGAGGTGGTACTGGACATTAAGTTCATTTTCCATTTTGAAAACATCCCCAGCTACATTTTAGGCCATATGGAAAATGGGCAGATTCCATCCCAAACCATATTGCTGGCAGTTTGAAATGTTCAAAAATGCAAATTGTTCCATTCCTGTGGGAAACCCGGTGGCTTCCCAGACCTTATTTTCCTTCCACAGGCAGGAGTCTTTTTGAACATTCAGCCGTGTTGTGTGTGTTGATGCAGAAGGCTGAGCCGTGCATACTGTCGCCAAATGATTTTCTTATTGATAAATGGAGCAATATATTTTGGTTTAGTACTCAATCGTCTCTTCCCCCATCTTCCATTTTCAAGACAAAAAATTAGGGCATGTCTTCCTTTCTGGCGCAAAATTGTTTCACTTTATCATAGCCAATCTTATTGTAAATTCATAAAAGCATCTTGGGACTTGATAGTAAATTAAAGATGTTTCGAAACAATAATGTTTCCTGAAAATCATGTGCAACTTTATTGTAGAAGTGATTCAAACTTGAAATTTCTGGATGAATGATTTATTTCTCAATCCTGGGGTGACAAAGTGAGTTAAGTCGGTTGCCCTGGCCCTTGGTGAAGGCAAAGTGTGCAAGAAAATAGTGCTTACCCTTCAGGCTCTCCCTGGGCTTATGCTCTGAAGAGTGCCAGTTGCTGACATATAGAACTTGAAAGTGGGCCTTTAAGGGCTGCCTGTTGCATTTTTAATCACAAAGGAATTTAGACTTAAATATTACATAACTGAACTCATATGGTAATCCATTACATGCACTTCATATTAGCTAGCATTTCTGGCACTATGGTGGCAGCTGTGTAAAATATTTGTTTTGCTTGTTTAGAATTGAATTGTAACGTTCTAAAGCAAGCAGCAATTATTGCTATAGTTGATGCTGCCAAATCTCTAATACTCCCATCCTTGCCAATGTGTCTAAATTGCAGGAGATATTGTTACCCTAAGCAGAGCAGATAGTATCTCGCCAGACGCAGGAGGAGAGCCCTTTTTCCAAATAGCTGCCGAATCTGTTTTTCTCTCTCTTGTCCTGTGTTTGTTGACTCTTTGGAGACTCTGAGCTTGCTGAGGACAGTCGTCTTGGAATTCTCCAGCTCCTATCATGGTGTCTAGTGCGCAATTCATACAGGGTAAAATTTGTCAAAACATGGAAATAATTGATTCCACCCATTCCTTCCTCTTTCTTTCCTCTCCTCACTTCTTTCAACCTGCACACTAACCTGTAGTCTTTGCTTTCTAGGCAAAGCAGGAAGAATGCTAGTTCTGTTTCTCAGGATTCCTGGGAGCAGAACTACCCACCTGGTGAAGGTTTCCAGAGTGCCAAGGAGAACCCCAGGTACTCCAGCTACCAAGGCTCCAGAAACGGCTACTTGGGAGGGCACGGTTTCAACGCCAGGGTCATGCTGGAGACCCAGGAGCTCCTCCGCCAGGAGCAGCGGCGGAAAGAACAGCAGATGAAGAAGCAGCCTCCTCCTGAGGGACCCAGCAACTATGACTCATATAAGAAAGTCCAGGACCCCAACTATGCCCCTCCTAAGGGGCCCTTCCGGCAAGATGTGCCCCCGTCGCCTTCTCAGGTCGCCAGACTGAACAGATTCCAAACTCCTGAGAAGGGGCGGCCCTTCTATTCCTGAGCACGAGGAGAACACATGCTTCATGTCATGCAATAAAAGGACATTTTCATACAAAGACTTGTATTTTGGGAGTTTTTTAAAACCTTGATGGTACTATGGAATATTTCTGTTGTTGGTATCAGTGCCTTTAAGCAGTGTGGGCAAAGAAACGGAAGGCCTTAATGTCTTTGCCGCTATGTCTCAAGTGTTCTTTCATGGAAGGATTTCCCACCATCTGACAATCATCTGTTCGAGGCATCCACACCCTCTGCATCTCTCTGGAGTACCCGGAATTTTGGCCCAATGCATAAGATATCCATGGCTTTGTTGTTACGGTCCCATACAACTTGGGTGACAGATGAAGCTGAAGAAGGTGTTGATTCTTCTTTTTCCCCTCTACATTGTCTTAGCTATGAGGGGACATCTCAGTTTCTAGTGGATGACAGTGGATGACATACACTAGAAACTGGGACTTCACAGCACAGTCATTTATAGAGCTTTGTAATCAGCGTGGGTTTCCCTTCTCTTTCTCAGCAACTTGTATCAGGAAAGTTCCGTCATCGTATTAAAGAAGCTAAGCCATATTCCAGCACCATTTGGTTATCAGGGGGTCCTTGTGTAACTGCCTTATAACTCAACATTACCAGTAAAGTGATGATTCTAGTCTTGTGTTTATAAATACACTTGTTCAGTCATGTCCCTGACACATGTTGAGTCGGCACAGCTCTGCTAAGGGAACGAGGGACACGGGAGTAACCTGGGTGGAGGAAGGACTGGACCTGCCCTGAACCATGTGGAGGGGAGGGGGGGAGCTGAAGAAAGAATTCTCCCAGGAGGAGTATGGGCCAGTACATCCCAATTATTATTTTAGTTAGTTTTTGTTGTGACAGTGTGGAAGGAAGGGCATAGAGTGGGACAAAGATAAATCAGTTGGTCATTTTTGAATTCTAAAAATGGATCTCTCTGTAGTTCTTAAGGTCGGTTGGAACTGATATTTGTCTAGCATATCCACATACTGTATCCCTGCCTGGTGATACCATGTCTCTAAATAATTCTGCCATGAAACATAAAAGACAAATAAGGGAAAAGCCATTCCGCATTACACAGAGAACATTATGGTGTCCCAAAACAGTAACAAAAGATTGCTCTCATGTCAATACTTTATCGCACGTGCAGGTCACAAGGCCCTCGGTTGCTCCCTGTTTTCATCTGTCTGTCTGAACGTTCTGTATTGTAAACCATGGCTGGGTTGCTAAAGTGCCTGCGAATCCTGATGTGAAAAAAGCTTGAGATGAAAGCTCAGCATAACGTGTATTAACAAAAAAGAAGAAGAAAAAAAGACATGTATTGATATGCCTATTCTTTTTTTTTTTTTACTGGCACATTGTATTTTTGCGTCGACTTGTTTTTAGAAAATACGTGAAGTGTCCACACGTCCCTGTGTCTCTTTTGCATTTCTGTGTAATGGTTCTATTTGTTAATAATGTGCAGCGATGTTTCAATGGTGTTACCAATGTAAGCACGGTGACCTTGGATGACAGTGGCTCTTTCTCACAGCCTTCCCTGAGCTGTGAGAAACAGCTTTCCCTGTACATATGAGACTTCTAATAAAAGGCATATTTCTTCCTGTTGTTTGTGGTGTCTATAGTTTTCCTGTAGAACCTCTCCCAGCTGTTTTTTTTTAAAGTATATTAACAGATGTGATTTTTTTTCATATTTAGCGAAAGTAGAAAATTTCTTATGTCTTTTGTGTGCACACATGGAAATGAATGATGGATTACTTATTTGAACACCTGAAGAGAGAGGGATGGAAAAGACAGAAGTTCTTTCTTAATAGACAACTGGGAAGACCCAGGCAACGTAAAGAAGCCTGAAGAATTCTGAACTGAAGGAGCCAACTTGCGAGGACAGAATAAAAGAATAATTATGCAGTAAGCTATGTAATATTTCCATTGCTGCCCTTTGCCCTTTTGGGGTTGTTTTGGCAAGGCAGGTGTTTTCAGTGAGTTCTGGCTTCACATATAGCAAGCCCAGAGAAAGGTCCAAATTCTACTCTCCTTCCTATACTGACGTGGTTCTTATTTTCCAGATCACAAAATAATGTTTTGCTACTTCTTTTAGATGGATGTTCATTAATACTTTGTACAGGGTGTCAAAGGCATAAAGGGCAGTACATCCCTAGGCGTGTCTCTGCACAAACATAGATGTGGTTCCCAGCCTAAGGACACGCTTTGCAAGGACCCATCCAAAATGCCCTGTCTGTGGGGGTGTCCCAGCATCAGTTAGTTTTCATGGGAGCCTTCATCTTGTCACTGAATCAAAGTCCTGTCACCTTTAGTAAGGAGAGGTGCGTGGCAAGCCAAGAAAATGTCACCTTTTGGGTTCTGATGTGCATGGCAGGTGTGGGAAAGTGGAAAAGGGAAGATGGACAGATTTGTTAATTTTCTCACTGACCAGGAGGCCCATTGCAAATGCCAAAACTCACAGACTATTTATCTCAACTGACAGTGAGAAGCAGAGCAGGAGAGGTAATAGAGAATGTGGTGGGGACTCAAATCACAAAGGGATTTGTGAATTAAAACTGACAATTTGAGCCGCACTGGGAAGAGAAGTAGGAATAGAGATGAGTCAGTGTAGGAGTGAAAATATACCCTATCAATCAATCAATCTTGTCTAAATGAACTGATTCCTGGGTCCAGAACCCTTCTTTCACAAGGACTTGAGGGGATCACCTAGGAAATCATGTCCCTGAGGAGGACAAGCCAGATGTGCACTGGCCTCTGCCCAGCACCCTCAGAGAGAAGCCCTGATTCCACAAAAGCGGGCAGGTAGGCGGGCCACACTTGGCTAGAGATGGAAGTTGAGCAACTCAGATATTCCTTGGGAAAGATAGTTCCTTTATGACATTATTAGTACTCGTAGCCGATTAAGACCATAAATATTTATATTAAAAGCATAAATTATAAAGTCAGCATTGCCTAACTGTACTAGCATCACAGCCACACAATGAAGTACTGAACCCAGGCTCCTTAGGAAGTAAAGAGAGGTTTATTTTGGCTCACGGTACTGGAGATTTAAGTCAAAGATTGGGTGACCCCATTGATTAGGACATCAGAGTGTGAGCATGTGTTGAAGCTGGTGTTCACATCAAGAGCCAGAAAGCAAAGAAAGGGAGGAAGACCAGGATCCACTTCAAGGGCATACCGCTTAGGTTCTGCCTCTCAAAGATTCCACAACTTCCCAATAGCACCGCCCTGGGGACCAGGCCTTCAACACATGAACCTATGGGAGTTACTCATCTAATCCATAACAATAATATAGGTATCATATTTAAACTTCCCCTCATTTCTTTCTTTGTAGTTAGTTAGAACAAAAAGCAATCCCAGCAGCTAGGGAGGCTGAGGCAGGAGGAACAGGAATTTAAAGGCATCCTCAGCAATTTAGCAAAGTCCTAAGCAGCTCAGCAAGACCTTATCTCTAAATAAACTATATGAAGGGCTGGGGATATGGCTCAGTGATTGGTTCAATCCCCCAGTACCAAAATAAAAGCACAAAGGCAGCCCAGAGATCAAAGCATCCCTCAATTAGCAGAGCGGTCCCACTGGAGGAAACTAGCATGTGGGCTTCTCAATTTGCTACCAAGAAAGTCAAATATATCAAATCATAAAGAGCAAACCAAATAAATGTGGGTTTTTTTTTTGTCAAGTAGGGGCAATAATTCCAAATTCCTTTGATAACCGGTGGAAATTTTAAACAGACGGACTACTTTCTCAGAATGTTCTTTGTAATTGTCCACCAGAATGAGTCTGAGAAAGAGGTGGCCACAAGTGAGAGACCAGGCGTCAACAGTGGATTCTCTGCCCATGTTATTGCTCCACCCAAATATGGTGGTCACTCTCAAGACTGGTCCCCCTCCTCCAGTGTTTTTATTTGAAAGTACACATATTTGTACATACAGCAGGTATCATATGTAAAGAACATCTATAATTCCATATTTGTCTATTTTAATATGTTCCTGTTTTAACTCATGAGTCCTTTAGGCTCAGATGTTGCCCCCAAGTCAAAAACAAACTAAGATTAAACAGAGAATACATGTCTCTGGTTTTGGTTACTAATCACTAATCACGGAAGGATAAGTTAGGAAGGTTATACTAACTACCTATAAGCAATAAATATCCTCCTTTGGATAGCATAGTGTGCTATAAATTTAAATGTCTATTTAATTGCTCTGTTTTTTTTTTCTTTTCTTTTTCTTTTTTATTTTGAACAAAGATTACTCCAATGATGACATGTCAGGTAAGGAGATAATCTTCTTTTCTTATTTCAGAGACAGGATATCATCTTAATAAGGCAGCTAATAAGAGCGTTCACAGGTCAGAAAGTGAGAGTGACGGAGATGCTTTAATGGAAATCCACCTTCAGCTCTGAGTAATGATTAGATCACAAAAGCTGGTTGAATTAAATTGACTTTTTTTTAAAAAAAAAATGTGTGGGGGATAAAGATTGTAATTCTGAATGTAAGTTTTCTTTTTCCCTTTTTAAAAACAAGAAACTGATATTCTGCTTCAGAGCTCATGGGTAAAAGGGAAGATTGCTGTTGCCTTCCACATAGAAAGAACTTATTTTTCCATTAGATGAGTTCTTATCTCCAATTATCTTCCCAGCTAGCATTTATGCCTCCTCCTCTCCTTCTTTCTCAGCATTCATATCCCATTCCACAAAGTAAAAAATCTATGGGTATCCTTTGTCAGTAGATTTAATTTCTTTTGGCTAAATTCTATAGTAAGGAAGTTCACTTTTAAAGGAGTCCATTGTGAATTCCTTAAGATTAGGCATCCTTTGCTTAAGAACTTTTTCTTTTCCTTTCCCATGTTAAGATTTAAATGTTCAGTTTTGATTTTCTGATTTTTTTTTTCCCCAGTACCAGGGATTGAACCCAGCGGCACTTAACCACTGAGCCACATTCCAGCCCTTTTTGTATTTTATTTTGAGACAGGGTCTCACTGAGTTGCTTAGGGCCTTGCTAGGTTGCTGATGCTGGCTTTGAACTTTGGATCCTCCTGAGCTTCTGAGATTATTTTCTGATTTTAACGTTTTTGAAAGCAAACTTTATGTGCTTTAGCCTGCCCCTCTCCATATGGATCTATCAAATACTGGACATGAGAAAAATGTAAGAAACAAAGTACTTGTCTTCCCACAGTGAGGTAGAACAATTACTCATTTTCTTTCTTAGCACTTATTTGCTCTCAGGATCAATTAAATGTGTGAAAAAAACACTCTCTCTGAATTGCTCAATGAACTGCTGAGTCATCTCAGCAGTTGGCTTAGAAAAGCCATTTGGAGTGTGCTCCTGGACCCTGTGGATGCATCACATGATCTGATTCTCCCTGGGTGTCACAAACCTGGATGGGATCAGCTGCTGGAAGATGGTGCTGTTAGCAGGAACTCTTCTTCTGTCTCTGAAGGCAAGTTCTGCTGCTTGCTAGAAGGCTCCTTCTGAAACTGAAGTTTGGCTTCCGTGAGGGATTTTATGATGCAAATATTTTAAGTACAACTTTGAAGGTTTTGCCATTAAAAACAGTCTCACATGGCTCAGGGCCCAGCCGACTGCAAACTACAAGGGGGGAAAAGTGCCATATATTGCTGGCAAGTGACAGGAAGGAAAACAACACAAATTTCTAAACCAATCGTGACCTTGGCTAATGATCTGGTTTCAGGATTCAGCTCATATCTGACTTGCTTTTATTCAGTTTTAGTTGTCAGCAGCAACATACTTATCACGGTTGTTTATGTTGAGATGAAATGGGCAAAAACATCGGGGACAACCTGAGATGGATCAGATTAGGGCTGGCCAATGAATGTGTGGTATTTTGGAATAAAACAACCCTTTGAACTCATCTTGTGAAGCCTCAAAATCAATTTGTCCTGCACGTGTCCTGACTTTGAACTTCATATCCAGACTTTTCTGAATTTTATTTGCTTGCTCCTGGAGCCCATGGAGCTCCCACTATGGTCCACACAACCAAAGCATTCCCACAAAATCTGAAACCACAAACGGAGTCTACAAGCCACCTCTATTTTCTCCCTTTATGTGGTCTCTTTATTTATGTAGCCTTTTATAATTTGCAAAACACGCTCATCTTTCCTTTTTGAGTCCCCAGACACTTGGAAGAAGGTTGAAATCATAGTCTAATTTTACACCTAAAAAAACTGAGATTCCAGGACTTTGTGAGCTAATCAGTCAAAACACAAAACCCTTTCTCCTGTCACCTACCACTGGGATCGATGCAAAGGTTTTATCAAAATCAAAGATTGTGTTGTAACAATTTTAATTTCCTTTTTTTGTTGGTAATCGTGCTTTTTTTTGATGGCGACAAGAAGCACAACATAATGTATAAAGAGTTGTGAAATTAGTAATGCCATGAAAATAAATTCTATTCATCACAATACTATTTATATACTCTTGAAAAATTATATATGTGTGTATATATATATACACACATACACATATGATGACTTATTCACACATTAGGCACAGTGTGTCATATATTTAAAATGTCTATTGAAATAGACAATGCCAGGCTTTCATAGGGATTTGCAGACACCACCACAGTCTCTTGGTGACCAGAGC